TGTTTCTGGTGGCCAGGTTATTGCTGGGAGGCCCCGGGCTGCTCAGCAAAACTTTCTGTGGGTGGTGGGAGCAGCAGGAGGGACACCGCAGAGCCCAGGGAGGCTTTGCGGAGGGTGTCTGGGGCAGACGCCCCCCCCAGGACATCCGCACTGGTACTTATTTCTCCTTTGCCAGTTTATATGGATAGGAGAAACGTCCTGGACCGAGCAAATCCAAGTGTCTGAGCGCAGAGCCCCAAGAGCTCTGTCTCAAAAAAGCTAGGGCTTGAGGGGACTACTACGGCTGGAAACACTAGAATGGGGGGTGTGTGTGTAAATAAATGATAAAACCCTGGGTCCTTGGCTTGAGCCCTTCCTAAAACATACCTTTCTCTACCCAAATTCCTGTACCCGCCCGCTCGAAGGCAAAAAGCTTCCATCAACCTGCTGAGGTTTCTCAGGCATTTCTGGGGCAGTAAAGCCTGTCCCTGCCTATCCATGGCCAGCGTGGCCCCTGCCTGTCCTCTGGGGAGGTCCACCAGGAGCAGCGGATGGGGCCTGCAATGCTTGGCTCTCGGGGCACAGGGCAGGAGGGCGGCTGGGAGCCTGAGTGCCACAGAACCCCTCGCTATCCTACTGGCACCAGACTCTGTGAGAAGCACAGCAAAGGTTTCTCCCCGCACATGCCCCATCCCAGTTCCTCGCCGCCTCTCCCCATGCACACGCACGCAGAGTGCCTGGCCCCGGCAGGCCGTGACTTACCAGGTTGACTGGGTGGATGTAGCCATTTTCATACTTGTCATTGGCCAGGATCTGCCGCAGGTGAGCGATGTAGCTGGAGGCCAACCTCAAGGTGTCCAGTTTGGAAAGCTTGGTGTCTGGGGGCACCCAGGGCAGGGTGGTCTTAAGCCTGGAGAAGGCTTTGCTAAGGACCCTCATCCTCGCCCTCTCCCTGGCGTTGGCAGCGTTTCTCTGGACCTGCTTTCCCTCCTGGCTCACTCCGTTTAAAGGGCTCTTCTTGGGGGGAGCTTTCTTCCTCTTGCCCGAGGCCCCTCTCCCCTTCTGAGGGGAGCCATTCTCGCCATTGGATCCCTCCTCGTTGCTCTCGGTGGACGCCCCAAACTCTTTGTTAGTATCCATTTTCAGGCCATCGCACTCCAGCATCTCCACCTCCTGCAGATCTTCCACATCACTGAGAGACCCAGTGGACATGGTCTGGAAGATGCCAAAGGACCAGCGGGAAGGGGGGAAGGGGGGGAGAGGAAGGGCCGCTTCTCAAATCTACTTCAAGGCGGCAGAGGAGAGAAGGGGCACCAGTATTTTCCTCCCCTTCCCTCCCCCCCCAGCACCAAGGCGCGATACCAGTCCAGAGAGGATCCCTGCCCTCCCGCCCCCCAACCCTGCTTTGCCTGTGAGGGAGGGAGGGAGCGTGTGTGAGAGAGGGAGGGAGAGAGAGAGAGAGAGAAAGCCGAGGAATTTAGTGAGGACACTAGTAATTTATCTGGGGGATAAGAGAGGCGGATCCAGCCCAGGGGAGGGGCCCTGCCCGCTGAGCACACCACATCCCCAATCACAGACCTTTGCACAGGACTGGGAATGAGGTATCCTGGCGAGCCTTTGCCGAGAGCTCGGAACTGGGATTCAAAGCTTCACAACTGGAGCAAAGCAACTTTCTCTCTCTCTCTCTCCGCTCTGTCTTTCTATCCTCCCCCTTCCTCCTTCTCCTCCTCTTCTCCTTCCCCACTTCCCTTTCCAGCCCAGGGTTGCTCTCCCCCTCCTTGCCTCCTAGATGACCCAGGCAGCTGGTGTCATGATTCTTGATGAAAGCCAAAATGGGTCATGAGCAGAGAGCGAGCAGCAGACCCACCAGCCAAGCCTTCCAGGGAGCTTTGTAATGCATGCTGTCGAAATGCTGTCCTGTAACCTAATCTGTGGGAGATTTGTAGATGATTGTATTTGCGAACGCATCCTGTCCAGCTACTAGCGTATTCCAGGAAGGGAGCGCTCCGCCGTCCGGCTGGCAGCATGGACCTTCCCGTCACAGCCCAGGGACTGGAGGCTGGAGGATCTGACTTCTTGCAGCCCTCCTGGGTGACCTCCCAGGTCCTGGTCCTCTCTCACTCTTTGAGTCCCCCCCCAGCTGTAAGCATCCCAGAGGCTGCCCCATCCGCAGGTGTGCCGGGTGGCCGAGATCCCGGCGCTCCGCGGAGCCCCACCGAGCCGAGGGAGATCACTGCGCCGCTGGGGAGGTTCAGCGTGGCTGCGGATGGGGCAGCAAGGGTGTGCACTGAAGTGAAGGGAAAAGGGGGCTGGATACTGGATGGTAGACATCGCAGAGAAAACAAACCCTTTTCTGGGGTGTTGTTGCAGAGCAGATGTCAGTGTTTCGCTCTGCGCTACCCGTGGAGCCCTTTGTCTGCTGATTTGTGCATGCTCAGAAGTCAGGGAGTTCTACCTGACTAAAGAGGCAAGATAAGGCCCCTTCAGTGGGAGCGGTGGGAGCGAAGGCGTCAGGCAGTACTCTGCAACCAGGGAAGCCAAGCATTCCCCATCGGAAGCCAAGCATTCCCCGTCGTTGTACCACTAGCGTGAATGAGCGGGTTGAATGAGCAGATGTACACTGCAGTTACGATCTTTATGCACATGTGTATTCAGTCTCTGCAGAGCAGGCTTTTAAAAGCAGTTAACCTTGGCCTAGCTCTTCTTCCTCTCTGTATAAAGTCTTCTCCTAAAGCCACATGTGGAGCCCAAAGAGGCCTGTGAAGCATGAACTTGCTCCCGTAGCTCCTTCCCTCCTCACACGCTTCCTGAAGCCTCGCAGGTCCCCCAGCAGCCTGGGTTGTGAACACGGGGGGCTAAAGGACTGGGCACGATCCACACGTGGGACCTTTCTGGACACAGTGACTGATCTGATTGCAGGAGCAACTCCACTTACTCAGCCGCTTACCTGAGGATTCGCATAGCTCTGGAAAAAAATGTACAGCCTAGATGCCACCGTGGCGTGCAGTAGCTTCGGAGTTAATCCATGGTCACGGGAGCCACAGAAAAGTCTCTTACTGATCTGTATGAGCATCACATCGGGTTTTCCGCGTGCACTAAACAAAAAACAAAGAAACAAAAATTGTGGAGGGCCAAGCTGGTACGTCTGCCAAGCGCTACGTACAGTCCGTAGATTAAAGTTTCAGTAGGAGGCAGAGTGTCAATTTTGATAACTAGCAAGGAAGTCTTTCCTATCTCTTGATCCATTTTGGTTCCTTGGCTCACATAAGCCAGAAGAAAAAGGGCAACTATAAACTTTAAACCAGCTGTTTACGGTTTGGCTGGAAGATAACACCTTCCCACTCACAATAGGATAAGTACATTAAGATATCATATCTCCAAGCCTGGGCTCTTGGGAATTCACTAACCTCTAACGTCATGTTATGTTAACTGTGCCCTATTTGTGTTTTCTCTGTGTATAAACTAAACAAATTGTCAGTGTATCAATTCAAATTAATGAATTATCTTTGCTTTTTTTTTTTCTTCTTTTTTCTTTATAACATCCTCGTTGCAGATCCAAAATATTACTAATCACCAGCATGGAGATTTATGAGCCTCCTTATTTTCTAGACTTGATTGTTGTTTGTGCAGGTGGAGATTTAAATGGCCATATCCACTGCAGAGATTTATAGTCCAAGTGATTGATGTTAGAAATAAGCTACAAGACTCCTACTGGAGCAAGGATGACAGAAAACCAAGTTGAAGTTGCTTATGTCTCTAAGCACGAATGACCAGAGAGCATGAGTGACCAGAGTGCACAAAAACTTCAGCATCAGATGGTCCCAGAAGAACAAAACAACAAAAAAGTATATAGTCACATCCTTTTTATCACTTATTTTTAACTTCACTTTAGTAATTTCTAAAAATTTGTTGTAAAAAGCAGAAGGAATGATGTGGCTTCTTAAAAATGCATTTAGTATGCCACTACATGTGCGTTCTGAAAATCAAGTTATGCGTACATGTGTGTTATGAGCTTTTAGAATTGCCACACATTTGTAGCTTTCACTGACTCACATACATTTTTTGAGTCCTCAGAGCCAGTAAAATTGATCTAATACAGACCACACACTTCTGTGGAGATGCGGGACACATTTTTGTATTAATTTGGTGGAGATTATTGTGTTTGTGATATATACTTACATACATGTAGTATAATGTGCTTTGAGTCCTTTATGCATACAGACTCTTAACACACTCTTTTAATAACATAATCGTCCCTTTTTTCCTCTCCAAAGGGGCCAGCATGGGCAGACCTAAAAAAATAGTATCCTCTCATCTCCGGGTAGCTCCTGGTTCCTTATCTGTTTGTTGCATGAGCCGAATCTCTCCTTTTCCAACCTTCCTGCTCCTTATGCCCCTCCTGGCAAGCCCAGGGTTTGTACCCCTAATCTGGCTCCCAGTTTCAATCCCCCTCCCCTCACCTGAATTGCCTTGCCCCGTCCTCCTGACTCTCATTCTGAATTGCAACCCCGGTTTGGGGTAGAGACCGAGGAGGTGGAGACCAACCCAGTCCTGTGGGAAGGGTAAAGCTGGGATGGCTGCAGCCGCCGCGGTGATGGTGTGGCCGCTTACGCCTCCAGTTAAATGACTGGGACCACAGACCAGCCCCTGGGTTAATAACTGGCTGGGAAAGACAGATGGAGCTAAAGTCCTTTTGGCCTTCCCAGTACATTCACTTCTTCATTCATGTTTTAAAAAGGAAGCTGAAATACTGGCATGGGGAACATCAGCACAAATGTGTGGATTTGCCCTGTAGATGACTCTGCATTGCTCTGGCTACACAGGAAAGTGCATCTCTCTTACTTCTAATTGAGACCCACTAAGCCTTAAGGGTCATTTAGAACATGCCAGGGGTGCTGGGGGCAGAGATTTGGGATGCCTGGTCTGAAGGGTGTCAGATGGGGGACATGTTACACATAGCATAGTCTAATGCTGGTCTATGGCAGGTTACAGATTTCCCTCTGGAAAAAAAGCCTCAGTTTTTATGTCTCCAACCTTCCCTCCCCTGGCCTGGAATAACATAGTAATTTGAGAACAGCTTTGGAACTTGAGGCCAAGATTTCTGCAAGTGTCTCCTGATTTTGCATGGCATGACTTGGGTTTTTTTGGTTATGTTCTGTGTCATTTATCAAGGCACCATGTTTTCACTGTGCATTGAACAGTCACCCAAGAAAAACCTTGGATCGCCCACAGCTGAGGAAAACATTATCAGTAGCTGGTTTCAGAACTCTTCACCCGAGTATTATACAGGTGTTTTCCTATATTTGGAGAATAACCAAGGGAGTCACTCACAGCCAGACAGCTCATCATGAATGATGTTCAGTCAGGTTTAAGAATAATCAGGAATTAAGATACAACCAGATCAGTGTTTTCAAGTTGCAATTTTAAAAAAAAAATCTGGTTGCACTCAGATTTCTCCTGCTCACTCTTGATCTCACCTGGAAACTAAGTAAAATGGTGGAGGGACTTCAGAAGCATACTTTTACATACCTTAAGTGAAATAATACTAATAGTATAGAATTACATATGGATAATACTAATAATAACTAATACTAATAGTATAATACTAATGCTACTATTGATATAATAATCCTGTGATATTTCTGTGATAGGATTCTGTCTTGTCCATTGTAGAGGATGGACAGTGCTAGGGAAATAGATCAAAGTTGTCTGTAACAGTGGGGTAGCTTTTTGGAAGAGCTGGGGCACTGAAGCCCTCCCATGGCTCCTTTCCAGTGCATGTATCTGTTTCTGGTCACAGTTTTGGTTTGAAAGGTAAAAGACATTCTGATAAATAATGTAAAGCAATACACAAAGAGAAAAAATAATGTCACTGCCAAGACAGTAAAGTGTTCCTGGAGAACTGGGCCAAGAGGCACATATTTTTATGCCATACCAGTGTCACTACCCCTCCCCAAGAAATCCCAACATCTTGCTTCAAAGCCCCGAGAAATCAAAGCTTTGTGAGAAGCTGTTTTCTAGAATAGTTTACTGTGGGGGAAAAACCCAACAATGTCTCCTTCTATTCTCATTTAGAAATATCTGAAAGTTTTGATGATACCTAGAATGGAAAAAATTCAGTCTTACTGACTACAGATTAGAAAATTTAAAAGGAAATGAACTACAGTTTCAAGGAAATTTATGAAGAAAGTTATGCAGCAGCCGTAATTCCATTTCATGTGACTTTTTAAACCTTGAAATGTCACAAATCCAAAAACATTGAAATACTGGGAAATGGACTTCCAAAATAATTTCTTTAGTGGATATTGAAGAATATTCTATGTGACTCAAAATATTTAATTCCAGATTTTATATTTTAATCCTGTTTGTCACGTTGATGAAAAAATCTGTGACACATATAAGTA